TGTTGATCCTATACGTTGCTTGATGAATGTCCATTTCATGTTACTAACAATATAATTAGTGCCCACTAGATGGCATTGTAATCACAATAATGTAAAAGCAATGCAAGGATTTTATAGTATGGTTTTGCTAGTAAAAATTTAGTAACTGTAGTGAAATGGTGTGTACATGGATGGAGAACTGGCTATAGGAACGTGTCCAGAGAGTATTGATAAGTGGCTCTTTTTCAGATTGATGTATGGTTGAGAGTGGCTTTCCCCCCGGGTTCTGTGCTAGGCCCCATACTGTTTAACCTGTTTAATAATGATATCGGGGAAAGTATTAATAGCCATGCTTCTGTGTTTGCTGATGATACTAAAATTGGGAGGGTAATTATCACAGGCTTAGACACTATAGCATTGCAGAGGGACCTGGATAAAATAGGGGAGTGGGCAACTATATGGCAGATGGGGTTTAATGTCGATTAATGTAAAGTAATGCATTTTGGGGTTAAAAACAGGCAAGAAGAATACACATTAATGGGAACTCCGCTAGGAAAGTCAGAAATGGAAAAAGATCTGAGGGTCATAGTAGACCACAGATTGAATAATAGCTTGCAATGCCAGGCTGCGGCAATTAAAGCGAGCAGAGTACTGTCTTGTATTAAAAAGCGCATGTTTTGTAGAGATAAAGGCGATCATTTTGCCACTTTATAGATCATTGGTTCGGCCTCATCTGGAGTATGCGATCCAGTTTTGGTCGCCAATCCACAGAAAAGATGTCCTGGAGCTGGAGAGAGTCCAGAGAAGGGCAACCAAACTAATTAAGGGGATGGAGGATCAAAGCTATGAGACAAGGTTACTCAATTAAAACTTGTTCACGCTGGAAGTGAGGAGATTAAGAGGGGACATGATATGATTTTGATGTATAAAATGTTTACTGGTAACATCAGCAACAAACCTTTTACAGGAAACTCCATAACAAAGACTAGAGGCCACCACCGAAAACTGGTGTAGAAAATATTTAACCACAAGGGGCTTCTTCTCAGTTAGAGCGGTTAAAGTCTGGAACTCTCTGCCACCAGAAGTGGTATCAGCTGAGAGTATTGAATCAGTCAGGCAGCAGTTAGATAACTTCCTCAGAGACTGTAACATAAAGGGGTACAGGTACACCTAAAACAAGGTCACACAGGTCACACAAGGTCACTCGTGTACACACATGCGCAATCGCACACAGACACATAGAGGTTAAACTTGATGGACCCGTGTCTTTATTCAACCTCAAATAGTATGTAACTATGTAACTAGCATTGAACAAATCTTAAAGAAATCTGCTGTGGGAAACATTTTGTGGAATCAGGTAGTTTTTGGATGACTTCAGATCAAATTAGCTGAATAAGCGGAAAGTAGATATGGATTTGTGAGCTGACAGCTTCCATTGCAGTATTTATGAAGAGTACTCAGTGGGTGGCTTCAGTGCAACAAGTATGATATCATCATTGCTCAGCAAAGTGAAAGTGTCATCGTACCAAAAGGGCCCCCTATTTTATTGGGGCACAGTTATCTGACGATAATGTTCTGGACATAATAGCCACTAATATTCAGTGAATATATCTTATACTTTAATGCAGTGCAGTAACTTACAGTAACTAATTAAAGTCCATCTTACACTGGTCTGACTGAAGCAGAGTGAATTCTGATTAAACTGTTGCTGATTCTACTCTTTGACAGCTCAGCAGGCACGAGCCCCTTTAAGCTCAGTGTCTAATGAATATTATATTTCAAGAGACTACATTTTTAGACACCTGGGGTTCAGTCACTACCAATAAACCAATCATCCTATTTAAAAAAAAAAAGCATCTTGAGCACTGTCACAAATTATAGACACAATGGCACTACACAGCCCTGATGTAGACATAAATGTGGGCAAAACATGTTGGGGGCGTTGATGATACAGAATTTTAGTAAGAGGAAGATATTATGAGTCAGATATATAAAAAAGATTTTAGAAAGTAAGGATGATGCAAATTTAGAAAAGAGGATGATTGAAAAAAAAAATCCTCACAACGTTAGAATATATGTATAAAGTAACAATAGATAGATAGATAGTGAAGTATATGATGGCAATTTGTATCTCCCTCTAAAATGTTGGGGATGCAAATAATACCAAAATAAATAGAGGAAGACAGGAATTGAAATTAAAGTGAAAAGTTGGGTTTTCATGCAGGATTAATAAAGGTTATATTTTATAACCTCTGTTTGTAAGCCAACCATATCGGTTGGCTTACAAACAATAATGTCTGTCAAATCTGTTCATTGGTGATGATAGATTGTGGAAGGACACTGGATGACCCAGAGGAAACAAGGAAAACAGACACTGTTGTGTTGGAAAACAAGCCCCAGAGTGATGAACATTAAAGTCACAGTATAAACAACTTAACCAATTTAAAAAAAAAAAACTGTCTTGTAAGAAATACAATTAGAATCGGAATCATCATTAAAACAACACAACTTTTTCCAGGTTTCATAATTCAGGTTATCTGTATGCTAATGAAGAGCAGTCCAGTAAGAAAAATGTGGAAACAATAATTAAATAATCTATAAAGAGTACACATTGCTACTGTAAATAATGTATTTAAATAAATGCTCCTAGCCTTCTAATAGTGTTCAGGGAAAACTCTAAAATAACAGAAGAAGCAAGAAACAATGATAAATGTAATGCAGCCAGTCCGCCGTTTATTATTTATTCAGAAGTGCTTTTTCATAAAGTAACTGAACAATCAGAATTCTTGTCAACATATTTTATTTACAAATAATTTTATTACACGCTACGTACTCATATGTACTTATACATCGTGCTTTGCAGAAATCTTCAGAACCTTTATCACTTCTCTCATTTAATGAATAACAAACCCCACAATGAAATTGTGCATATAGGTCATTTTATATTGCATCCTATGCTAGAACAAAAAAAAACCTTCAAAAAATAAACAACTGCAATGTGTTTTTTAATTCCTGTGTTGTGGAAGTCCCAAGTTTACATAACTGCAGAACAGCTGCCTAGAGTGGGTTTAATTGCCTTATAGGTGTCCAGCGAATCATTACAAAACCTGTCATATGCAAATGTAAAAAAAAAAAACTATGTATGTTCATCATAACACCATATTTCTAAACACAGCAATAATGACTAGGATCTCCAGTCACCTGTAATAACATCCAATTACCCCAATGACATCCGAACATTTCTCTGTTATTAATTTATTATAGCCCAACTCTTGGCTATTTTTTTCATTAAACGGTCCCCCCAAGATAGATAAAAACAATGTAACGTAGGCTGCAATACACTCCTCTTTTTCGGAGTTGTTCTCTGCAGCAATTTCCTTTCGCCACATAACGTCCTCAGTCCTCCATGTTAAATCACATTGGGTGTCATTTAACCCAGAAGACATCATAGAGCAGCCCCCTGAGGGGGCTTTCCACAACACCCTGCGCTTACAGTATTATGATGCAGGGAGCAGCACCAATGTCATAATATCAGCTCTGCTCTCTCCATCATTGAAGACCACCTACCAACAAGAGTGGATCCAAAGAGGAGAAAGCCCCCAAACATGATGTGACTAGCCTAAGGACCTCTAGAAAAGGAATTGAAAAAAAGCAAAACATTCTAACGGGGGGCTATAGAAGGACGGGGAAGGGGGCTCTGGGAGGAAACTAGAGTCCAGCTTTGAATAAGGAAATTCAAACTGCAAATTCCATTAAGTAATCTAGTTACTTATTACAGGAGTTGAAAGAAACTCATATACGTACCTTCATTTTACTTGGTTAAAGCTTCTTATAATTCCTTGTACAGTAGCACTCAGATGGAGGGAGGGGCAGTACTTGGGACCAGTCAGGTGTTCTATATGTGCTGACAAGGAAAATATTGACAGAAGGAGAGAAGAGAGAGATGACCTCATTAGTCTGTTGCTACTCCTTCCCTGTCCAGTCACAGGCTAGGTGCAGGGAGATAACCTACCTGTGTTGCTCAACTGCAGAAGAGGAAAGCCTGGTCACCCGTCTGGCTGTGTAAAGTGATTGTTTAAAGACTAGGACTGGATGAACAAATATGAAAATCTTATGGCAAGCAAGATAGCTTCAGGTGAGGACTAAGAACCTTTGACATGGGGCCAGAAACAACTTTTTTATGGTAGCAGCAAATTTCTGTTGACTAAAGAATTTGCACCCTGCAAAACGTTCCATGGTGTTGCATTGTTGCATGGTGTGGCCATGGTGAAAGGTGGATGTTCCTAAAGGACATGGTATATCGTGACATACCTTTTAACATTTTCCAGCATCAGCTTGCTTTGTGGCTTTCTGGATACAGTCACATGACACCTGAGAACCGCAGTTGGAGCTGGATGAACTCCCTCTGCCAGACATTGTAAAAGAAGGTTTGAAGGAGCAGTAGCTATATAATGATCAGTATGGGTAACCAACTGCGAATCTCGCTCTCATGTCTGAATAGTTAAATATCTCCACTCAGGGACTCCAGCCCAACATATCTTATTAGCCATCCCCCAACCCAATTCACCCCTAGACATCTCCAATATATGACTATTTTGCTTGGAGTTTGGCTCTAAAGTTTATTTCCGCTTTTCAAGTCCAGTTGCCTTGACTTATTTTTACAGATATACCATGACCTGGATGAACGAGAACCTTTACAGACATTTTTGCGACACATTTTGGGAAGAAAACCCTTACACTTGTACGAGAATATGAAAAGACAGCAAGAAAATTGGCAGACTATAGAAACCATCTGCGTTTTCACCTCAGATGCCGACAACAGGGGTTGGTGCCTTGCAGCATATGTTTGGACTCCACAGTTAAGGGCTACAAAGCCAAGCTGATACTACATAAGGCCCAGAAAAAATTGCTAAATGAACGTGTACCGCAGAAGCATTTCACAGTTGATGTATATTATATATATTATGTATATTTTCTGCTGACACCAGCACAGGACAGATATTTTTACAGCATTCATATTCAGGCAACACTGACATTAAGTTTCATGGAGAATATATTATTTACAATCACTGCGTTAGTTGAAAGAAATGTACAGTATGTGCAATGCCTGTTTTACAGACAGCGAATACAGAACTTGCTAGATGTAGATATTTTCACATTATTGTCATCCCAATGGCTCTGCATCCCTCACATCGGTTTTCAAATGATGTAGGAATGACTCACAGTGCAAGCTGCTGCTGCATTTTTGGTCTCATCGGAGGACAGGAGCAGAGCGATCATCGGTTACTGTAGGGCGAAGCTTAACAGTTGCAAATGGATTTGTTCCCCTAAAAGAAAGGCAACATAAAATTAGCATGTTACTATAGCTGTCAACTTTAGAATGTTTTTATTTCCATAAAGACTTTTGCCGATCTACACTGAGTGGCCAGATTATTATGACCACCTGACGTTTGTAGGCAAATTAGCTATAATTTCGCGGTGAAGTTGCTAGAGGGCCAGACCATTATAAATAGGGAAGCAGGTTGTTTACCACGACAGTAGAAGTGTTTTTTTTCTGAAGATACGGGTAAACATCGTGATTTAACAGCCTTTGAACGTGGGATGATTGTTGGCGCTTGGAGCCATGGAGCGAGTATCAGCAAAACAGCAGAATTCGTTAAATGTTCAAGAGCAGCTGTTGTTAAAGTGTTTAAAGACTGGACTGTCAGCCGAAAAATCTGGGTCTGAACGTGCGAATTATGGCCGTCAGCGACTGGTCAATGTTAGGGCAGAACTGAGAGTGGCAAGACTGGCACAAGACAACAGAAGGGCAACAGTGCATCAAATTACTGCAGATCTTAATCTGGGATCCTCTCAAATGATCTCTGAACGCACTGTTCGCCGTACACTGCATCGTATGGGATATGGAAGCCGAAGGCCTGTTCGAACACCTTTGCTGTCTGCAGTTAACAAGATAAAACGTCTCCAATTCGCACAGGAACACAAGGATTGGACAGTCAAACATTGGAAAAAAGTCATGTGGTCCGATGAATCACGTTTCCAGTTGCATCATGCAGATGGCAGAGTGAGAATTTGGCGGGAACAGCATGAAAGCATGCACCCCACATGCATGAGTACAACCCTTCAAGCTGGTGGGGGCAGTGTTATGGTTTGGGGCATGTTTTCCTGGCATGATTTGGGCCCTTTAATTCGTGTGGAACAACGTCTGAATAGCACAACATACCAAAGTATCGTTGCTGATCATGTTCATCCTATCATGTTGATGGCGTATCCCAATGGAGGAGGCTTCTTCCAACAAGACAATGCGCCATGACACGGTGCTCGTATTGTGCAGGAGTGGTTTCAAGAACATGAGGGAGAATTTACCTTGCTTAGGTGGCCCCCACAATCACCAGATCTCAATCCAATTGAGCATTTGTGGGACAAAGTTGAAAGAGCCATCAGGCAGCTGGTTCCACAACCATCAAATCTCACAGAACTGGACAGTGCTATTCATCAGGCATGGCGTCAGATTCCTTGCATCACCTTTCAACATCTTGTGGAGTCAATGCCAAGAAGAATCGCCGCAGTATTGAAGGCAAAAGGTGGCCCAACTAAGTACTGATGGGGTGGTCATAACAATCTGGCCACTCAGTGTATAAACACAGCAAAATGTGAAATCTTGAGTTTCCAACACTGCCCTCACCTCAGGCATTATGAAGTCAAGGAAGTATTGCATTTCCTGCTCCATTCTCAATTAACAACAAGTAAATAAGCAAATCCCTAACACAAATAAGACTCCTTTCAGATGGCCACAGCAACTGGGCATGGTTGGAAAATAAAGTCCCAGAGGGATATACAAATTCCACTGAGAAATCCAAGCTGCCTACATATACACCAAATACTAATATATCACCTATGGGTAGACTGGTCCTTTATACCTTATGGAAAGTTTTTAGTGCGCCCAAAGTTTTTCCATACTACATTTGACATCAGCATTACAAAATCTTCTGTTCAGGTACATGTGCAGCCTACAACAGAGGTTGAGTGCTCAATTTGTGCTACTGCCACTATGCTTGTTTAGAGATAAGATGCCTATTGGTCTTACTGGTTGTACAAGCCAAGCCACTTAAACGAGGCTATCAGTCTAGAGCCTTTCTCTTTGTGAGCATATTTCCCTTTTAAAGGGAATATATAGTCTTTAATTGTTCACATATACGTGAAAAATACATATATCCACTTTATCTTAGGAGGTAAGTTTCCATAATCTTAATCAACTTTGATTCTATGTATAAAAAACAAAACTTATGGTAAAAGTTCAGCAGATTTCCACTATTCTAAAGCAAGGAAAAGCTAGCCAGGAAAAGGTTTTTCAATAACATGTTAATATGAGTAATTGATAATGACTCTTACCTAGGGAAGAGCTCTCGCAAACCTTGTGGAGCCTTCTGTGAACACAAAATGGAAGAGTAGATAAACAGGTGGAAGAAAGGAAGAACAAATGAAAATGCAAAAAAACACATGCAGCAACAAATGTACGATTGTACCACAAACCTATTTGTACTGTAAGCACATTCCTCTGACCATATGGCACTTAGTTGGATGGCAGGAAAATCTTATCTAGCTATGTCAAACAAATTTTGGGAGTTTAGATTCAGTTTTGTTTGCTAATATCGTGCAATGTAAAAGGTTAGGGCAGCATGCATAAAATCTGGCCAATATGATAAATTGAGAGTTTTCACTCAAACAATTATGTACAAATATTCACTTCAACTCCCAATCCAATGAAAAACAGTTGTACACGATTAGGCATTGAACGAGGATCCTCAACTCCTTTAATAAATAAGTCTCAATATGACAATCCCTAAAGTAAAACTGTCAAAATGTGGGTTAACTGGTTGTGATTCTAACCCACTGGCCCACTGGCTTTAATACTTCCAGAGTCACTGACCAGAAAAAAAACATGTAGATCAGTAAAAAACAGATGTTTTTATCTACATACTTCTTCCAAAAACAACAGGGTCAGCATGAAAGCCAGGGAACAAACATTTTCAGGAGGAGAGGTCAAGCAAGGCTTTTTCTCCATTTTTACCTCATAAATATATTATATTCATTGGACATATAATATGAATTCTCCCTGCTTATGCAAATGTTGTATAGCTTCTTTTGTACATGGCCTGTCATATAAAAAAAAACACACAGCACAGCTTACACTCACACTCTGCAGCGAGTTTTTCCACACACTGTGGTCTGTTTACTGGTGGGCAATCTGTTAGTCCTCATTCTGAGTGGAGTCCCAGAAACTGTTTCAGAGGTCTAATACTACTAAGCTAACCCACAAGGTCTAACACAAGTGAATATTTTGTGGAATCAGATCAATGAACTGTTGATTTTTGGAGTCATAACATTGTGTCAGTGTTTTCAGGGTTAGAACAATGTTAAATAACTCTTGTCTCACCTAAATAGTTTGGACACTCAGTCTTATGTACAGATGTCCCTTACATATCCCTAACTTCCCCTGCATCCACAGTGTGGGGATCCCCCATGCAGGGACTGACAGTGGGAACACTGATCATTACTGTTTAACAGTCAGAACTGTCATTCTGCATCCACCAGAAGGTTGGCTCTGGGGTCATGGACGTGAGGATGGAGTTAAAGGGACCCTGCTGGGGAAAGAGAGGAGGGAGAGTGAGTATGTCCTTTGTCATATAGGACGTTTAAAGGGAGAAAAAGATTAAGTAAAAACTACATGTAAAGCTGAAAGCCAGTGTAGAGTAGAGCTGCAACAATTATTCGATTTCGTCGATTAAAATCGATGATGGAAAGCGTTGTCACGTTTTCCATCGTCGATTCGTCGGCTAAAAGTAAAATTTCCCGCTCGCCGCTGCACGCCGCTCACACCCGCCGCTCACGCCACACCCACGTCGGTTAAGCCGCTCGCGCCATGCCCACCGCACACGCCGGTAAACCTGCTCACGCGACGCCGCTTATGCCACGCCCACTGCACACGCTGAGGACATGCGTCTGGCCCTCTCCTCCCGTTGAGCTTCCCGACTCGCCGCTGCCCGGGGACGACCAAAAGCTAAAGAGGACTACAAATCCCAGCAATAGTACATTATAGTATAATGTACTATTGCTACATTCCTCTATAGCTGCTGGTATTCTGCATTGCGCCGCTGTATAATGTACTATATTGCACACCACACTTTTTTTTTACTTCCACCGCGCCTAGCTTGCTCCCGTGATGGACTACAGTCTCAATACAAACTAGTAGTCCATCACTGAAGCCTTTTTTTTTTTAAATCCAATTAACCGATTAATCAAACTTAATAATCAGCTAACTAATCGATTATGAAAATAATCGTTAGCTGCAGCCCTAGTTTAGAGATAACTGTATTTACAATGGTTTCGCAAGATTTGAGTAAAAAATAAATAATGTCTTCATCATATAAACTTTAAATCTGTTGATATTACAAACACTAGCAGGGCTATTCACAAAAAGGGTGAAGAGTTTGGAGAAGGCAGGAGAAGTTAACAATCTAGGCCAAAGTAATGGATTTGGAAAAAGTATCCAATTCAGCTCACTTTCCGGTTCAGCTATGTTGTCCTAGATTGTTCCCTTCTCCTGCCTTCTCCAAACTCTTCACCTTTTTGTGAATAACCCTGTTGGACTGATAATAATTTTGGGTTACAAGCTTCCTGCAACATTGATTTCTCATTTTCAAATGTTAAATTTAGTTTTTGCCTTTAACCACTTGAAGACCAGGTGTTACACCCCTTTCCTGGCCAGGCCATTTTTCAGTATTCAGGGCTGCGGTACTTTGACTGACGTTTATTCCGTCATGCAGCGCTGTACTGAAATTAATTTTATACCATTTTTTGGGGACTATTGGAAAAAAAAGACTTCTGCAGACGAAGTCAGGAGTGAAGGCATTTTCTTGGCACCATTACCTTTATGCTGTTGTTGTTGGGTGGTGGAGGGGCTGCATTTGCCACATTTCCTCTTTGGCTGTTTCTGTTGGCAGGTTGCCGGACATTGTCATCCAGGAGATCACTAGCACTATGTGCACTGCGCAATGGTGGAGACCTATATTAATGGAAGAACATGTTAAACACTTTTAAATTGCCTTGAATATATTAATGACTGTAAACCTTAAGGAAAGAAAGCTGGAGTCCAAGATCACAGAAGCTTTAACATTTTTGGGAAATGCCACTACTTCTTTAAATAAGAACTCCATGAAAATAAAAAATGTACCCTTGCAGTGTGGCTACCTGCACACTGCAAGGGTTAAGTGCTCGTCTTGTCTCATCAGTCAGCAATCACCTCTCTCCCCCCACAATCCCGCTATGGAATGTCCCTTGGCATCCTCACATGTAATACAAATCAATGTTCCTGCATTAGACATGATGACATCAGTGGTCCTCAGACCGGCAGAGCCCAAGGGAGAAGAGGCTGTGGGAAGCGATCTAGCAGCCCAGTAGGACTGAGGATTGTGTGAGTATTTCTGCTTTTTTAATCCCCCTATACAAAAGCACCACCCTACCAGGGGCGTAACTAGAAATCACAGGGCCTCACAGCAAAATTTTGTATGGGGCCCCGCGATTGCTAGTTATGCCACTTGCAGAGCCCCAGCGGAGAGTGACCCTGCAGAGCCCGCCATAGACTCTCTATAGTGGGCTCTGCAGGGTCTGAGATCTCTTACCTGTCAGCGCCTCTGTGGTCGCCGGCCCAGACTCCTGTTCTGTCCCCGGGCCCCGCCTCCTCTGCTATTGACAGGCTATGAGGGGAAATGCGACGTGGCCGCTGCTGAGCTGTGTCTGTGACAGCCAGCACCCCCACATGCCATAGCGACCCAGGCGGCCCCGGCCGGGCCCCCCTGTGCCCGGGCCCCATAGCGGCTGCCTGGGTCGCTATGGCGATTGTTACGCCACTGCACCCTACCCTTGCAGAGTGGGGGTAGCCTCACTGCAAGTGTAAGTTTTTTTTATTTTCCTGGAGTTCTTCTTTATGCATTTAAAGAATGAAGACCTGTTTCAGATAAAGAACCTGAATACCTCATACAGTAAAGCATTCTACTCCTACTGTAAGTAACCCTTTTCTATACTATAAAAATCTCCTTTCTCCATATTTAATTGGTGTTCTTGACTGAACACAGGAAATGCACCACTCCTCCACTCCTACCCCTCGGTTAAGGGATGAGCCGGGTGCTTGCCGCTGGGAGCACATCCTCGCAACAATGTAATACCACACAAGCAAGAAAAAAATCTCGCCGCAGGACACCAGTAATAAACGATAAACTGTTCCAGCGGAATTCGGAGTAAGGCCAGCTTCCGTTCTTGTTTGTGTGATGGTCTTGGCCCTTTGTAACTTGTAAAGTCAGTTTGTAAATATTTTTATATATAATACCATTGTCTGGTGTGTGTTTCTTTGACTGCTGCATCCTCTATACCATATGCAGTCTATAGAGGGATGTAGGAAGCTTGCATTGCATCATACTCAGCTATGACATGCTGAAGTGGAGTCTGAACACATAGGAATAAAGATGTACATTTCTGACCCTCCTATTTACATTATAGATTTAGTTTTAGATCTTTAGAAATGATGATAATTATAATGTTGCTATATTATATTTTGGGGAAAAAACATGTCATCCATTGAGTGCAAAAGAGAATGTTAATGCTAAATGTGCTATATACAGTACTATAAAGTGCTGTATTGTGCTACATTTTTACAGTGAATTGCGGTGGGCTGCATAGTCTGTATCCCCCGAGTACACTTTGCTGTCTTGTAATACAAAACTCTGAATTAGACATGTGCGATTTGTTTCGGAAAAATTCAGTATTCTGGCAAATTTTCGGAAATTCTTATGAATTTGTGAATGACAGAAATAGCAAATGCAAACAAATGTGAATTTCCGATAACTAAAATTTCGATGCATTCTAATTTATTTCCCGAATTAAGTTTTATTGTGTTAAGCATTAACTTAAAAAAAAAAAAAAAATTCTTTAGCGGTAGTTACAAACGAAAATGAGTTGCAGCAAAGTGACATTAGACAAAAGGAAAAAAACACAAATTACATTTTTTTTTACAGTCTGCAGAAAAAAAGACAAAAAGCGTGAGGTTCCCCACAATTAATACCAGGTCTACTCTTTAGGTCTGGTAGAGGGGGGGGGGGGACCTCACGCTTTTTGTTTTTTTTCTGCAGACTGTAAAAAAAAAGAAAGTCACGAAAGTTCGCTTAGAATGAAAATTCATAAATACTACCGCTAACGCAAATTTAGATTTTATTTTTATAATTCTTTATTTTTGTGAAACAGGTAAATCCATACAAAAACACTGTCAATACAAAGCAATACATATCCAATAAAATGGCTATAACACAATTCAGATAGTGGATATTGACTTGGAGGCATGGATCCCATTATTTTCCAGAATTTGCAAACAACATGAGTAGGAAGGAAAGACAGTGAGTAAACAATATTATTATTACTTATTTTAAGAAACCCATGAAGCAGCAAGGATAAATGTAAGAAATAGTATACAATAGCTAGTGAAGTAAGCAGAGTTTGAGGGAATGGAAAGGGGGAGGGAAGTAAGAATGACATCACTCCCAGCAGGAAAACTGATCTGAGATTAATCAAGCAATCCGAGGGCTGGCATGTCCCTCTGAAGTGAGACATGCCTGGTAGTCCGGAGAGAAGAAGAACTCTGTCCAAGGGGTCCAGGTTTTGCACAATTTATTGTGTGCCCCTGCGGAGGACGCCGTCAGGTCGTTTTTAAAGGACTTTTTAAAGTTAATGCTTAACACACTAAAATTTAATTCGAGTAAGAAATTCGAATGCATCTGAAATTTTCGTTATCGGAAATTCGCATTCGTTTCAAGACCCTGGCTTGACTTGTCAAGACCCTGGCTTGACAAGGAAGACTATATCTTCTAAACGTGTTGCCACGTTACCACGATAACAGGAACTTCCGTCCCGCGTCTGGGACGCCTCGGCCACCATCTTCGTGCAGACAGGCATTTGCGGAGCCTGCCTCACCACCAGCGCGTGAAAACTTCCGCCCACACTCCGGACGCATCCCGCTGACATCACCACTCCACAGAAGGAACCCAATCAGCGCCCCCCCATCCACCAACGCACCGGACAATCTCGGCACCAGCGGACAAGACCGCCACCTCTCCAGTCTCGCGACGCTGCCCACCAGCATACCGACAGGGAAGCAAGCAGCAAGACTCTCCAATCAAAAAAGAAGAATCCACAAGATGACCTCCATTCAACTCTCCCCTGCAGAGATCCCGGCGTCGATGAAAGCACATCCATGAAAACCTCATGTTGAGTTTCTACACTTCTTACACATGGTACCATCCCCCATGTTACAACTGTTACCTTTCTCTCCCTTACACCTTTGTCAGGATTTGGTCACTCACATCCTGCATTCTCCTAGCCCTCCGGGCCTCAACACCCCTTAAACTCTCTTTTCCACTGGTGGTAGCGCTTTAGACCTTTGTTTTATTTTTGCTCTGTTTTTCATCAATTGGACACCCCGGTCCACACTCAAACTAAAGCAGCATACCCTCCTTCAATTTTTTCCTTCCCCTCACCCCCCAACAAAAACTTCCAAAACAAAAACCAAACCCCCCCTCTCCTGTTTCTTTGTGAACTCTCCTCTCCATCACCCCCGGGAGAGCGCTGTCACACATAGGACTTAAGTCGCGAAACTTTCTAAATGGAATGGAAATAACCTGGTCCTCACTGCATGGAAACAAATCCGTGTAGTAGATCCCATTAAACAGCATGCAGCCATTGACTCTAACATGCATCACCGATGACCGTTTTTAAGGGTGGTCCCCCTTCGTCGCATCTACTACAGGGATTTTTTCCTGGCAGTGAGGACTGAGCAGGTTTCTACCTGGATGCTATTTTATATCATAAAGCGAGATTGTATGGAACGTTTGTGAGCACCAGTTTTTACCAGCAGCAAAGCCGTGGACACTTTGTATTAGGAAGCAACAAAGCTGTGAATTCTGTGCATTACACGCACAGCAATATAAGAGAACATTTACCTTCGAAAAGACATAAAAAGTTTACCCAAAGCAAGATTGTATCTTTTTTCCGCTGGAACGTTAACTGTTTGTTATAATTGCATCATTTTTAAGAACACATCTGCCAGGCCTGTCTGCTGGCAACAGTCACAGGCAGTGCCTAAATCATATGATCTCAGATTACCAGAGGTCTAGTGCAGATGTGGACAACCTTTGAACCAAGGACCTCATGGTCTTTTGGGTGTCCAGGCTGAAGCCACTGGCGGGAGCTTGCACAGTATGTGTTGGAGCCGGCTGGCTTGCCCTGTAGCCAGTGAACTGTCAGACAGGGCATTTAGTGCAGAAGGTTTTTTTGTAACAGAGAGATGAATCCACCTTTGCCTTGACACAGTGGACTGGTTTACTTTTCTAAAAATGAATCAGTCCTGGATGAGCAATGAGTACAAAATCCCTGCAGATAGCGGCTAAATGCTTTCTAGGAATCTGGAAAAAAAAAAAGATCATATCTTACACTATTACTATCTTCTGCCACCAATACCAGCTCCTTCCACCACTGCTGGCCTGTCACCATTACTTGCTCTTGCCACTGCTGCTGGCCTGGCACCATTAGAATCTCCTGCCACCATTACCAGCTCTTTTCACTGCTGCAGCCCTAACATCCATTACCATCTCCTGCCATTGCTGTTGGCCTGCCATGATTACCATATCTTGTCACATCTGCTGGCCTGCCACTATTACCATCTGCCTCTACTGTACTATTTTGGTGATCCAGCACTATAAAGGTACCACACATAATGTTTCTGCAGCTGGATCTCAGCTGCAAAATTGCTTGCATACTGTTTTTTTTTTTTGGTGAAATACACTGTCATTTCTTTTTTATTTAAAAGCTGTCTGGTGTCCCTTCTGTTCAAACTGCAAGCTGTGTGTCCCTTTCAAGATGCGGCCTACTTCAAGTGCTTCAATACTGTCTATGGAGTCTGTACAATATTACAGGATTTTTATGTGGAATAAATATACTTTATTGTTGATTCTTATATGAAAATATGCATGTTGTGTGATTTTGTAGAAGGGACCAGCCAATCAGGTGCATCTACCTGCTTATTGTTCAGGTATTCTGACAGCAGTTGGTGTATTGTCAGAATACAATATTCGGCAGGGAAGATACTATGAATTTGATGGGGTAATCAAGATTATTTTTTATCCTCACCCCACAATGAGCTGTGTTTGAAGTGTGTTGGTGTAGTCTGTTTTGACAGTTTATATTACAGATTTAACACAATACGGAGTGGTACTGCACAAATGTTGTTGAGCCAAATCTACCTAAACTAAACTACCCTGCTTTGGTGTTTAGGTCTGTTAGACTCCTAATATCAGCTGTGGGCCCCACTGAAGCTGATGAAGCACAGAGCGTGCTTCATCAACTTCTTCTTCAGACACAGCAGCCAGAGAAATAACAGCCTAAAACCAGAAGTGACAAAATCCTTGTTGCTTCTGGGTTCAGTAACCCGAGGGGAGATCAGCCCCTGAATAAGTGCTGATCTCCCTGCTGTGCAGCCGCAGACATCCCCCATGCCGGTCCTGGGCCTGCATGAGGAACAGAGGCGCCCAGAATAGACAGCAGCAGAGGTGGAGGGGAAGCAGCACCCTTATCCATTACCATACAAGTGATCAGGTGACTCTATAGCCACCTAATCACTTCTATGTGAAATCCACATGCCACCTGCAAAGAGTCGTGATCTTGGTTTTACTCACTTTAGGACCAGGGCATATATATATACACTATGTTGCCAAGCGTATTGGGACGCCTGCCTGTACACACACATGAAATTTAATGGCATCCCAGTCTTAGTCCGTAGGGTTCAATATTGAGCTGGCCCACCCTTTGCCACTATAACAGCTTCAACTCTTCTGGGAAGGCTGTCCAGAAGTGTGTCTATGGGAATGTTTGACCATTCTTTCAGAAGCGCATTTGTGAGGTCAGGTACTGATGTTGGATAAGAAGGCCGGGCTCGCAGTCTCCACTCTAATCCATCCCAAAGGTGTTCTGTCTGGTTGAGGTCAGGACTCTGTGCAGGCCAGTGAAGTTCCTCCACCCCAAACTCGCTCATCTGTATGTCTTTATGGACCTTGCTTTGTGCATTGGTGTGCAGTCATGTTGGAACAGGAAGGAGCAATCCCCAAACTGTTCCCACAAAGTTGGGAGCATGAAATTGTCCAAAGTGTCTTGGTATGCTGATGCCTTAAGAGTTCCCTTCAATGGAACAAAGGGTCCAAGCCCAACCCCTGAAAAACAACCCCACACCATAATCCCCCCTTCAACAAACTTTACAATTGGTACAATGCAGTCAGACAAATACCGTTCTCCTGGCAACCGCCAAACCCAGACATGGCCATCGGATTGCCAGACAGAGAAGCGTGATTCGTCACTCCAGAGAACATGTCTCCAATTTTCTAGAGTCCAGTGGCAGCGTGCTTTACACCACTGCATCTGACGCTTTGGTGATGTAAGGCTTGGATGCATCTGCTTGGCCATGGAAACCCATTCCATGAAGCTCTCTTCACACGGTTGTTGTGCCAATCTGAAGGCCACACGAAATTTGGAGGTCTGTAGCTATTGATTCTGCAGACAGTTGGTGACTTCTGCGCACTGTGCGCCTCAGCATGCGCTGGCCCCGTCATTTTACGCGGCCTACCACTTCCTGGCTGAGTTGCTGTTGACCGTGGAATATTTAGTAACACACCTGAATCCAATGGGGTGTCCCAATACTTTTGGCAATATAGTGTATATATGTGTGTATATGTATATATATATATATATATACATATGTGTGTGTGTGTGTGTGTTTGTATAAACATTTTGTTGCATTATTCGATGTCCCCATGGCAGTGCTAAGCTCACCATGCCCTTTCTCTGGCAATCCCTTGCCTACTAGGCTTGAAAATGGCCAGAATTGGTTTTCAAGATTTGCCCTTCATTGTTGTGGGTTCAACAAATGGCCCACAATCCAAACCATCCAGGCTGATTCACTCATCCCTAATTATGGTTTATGCAACAGCATTTATAAGAACTTTACAATTACTATTCTGGCCTTGGACGTCGTGGTCTTTATATTCTGTGTACAATCAATTGTTTTAGCTGTTCTGAAAGCACAGATACTATAAACTGTATATACTATATAAATGTAGTTAATATTCATTTATTTTGTGTAAATTAATGAATATTAACTACATTTATATAGTATATACAGTTTATAATATCTGTGCCTATTTACAAATTGCTGTAGCACAAGAAGACTAGATCTTTCTCCCTCCTCTATAAATAAATAATTGTGGTCTTGCCTTGAATCTTGGCTTGCATCTAGTGATTTTACGTAAGCCTCGGGAAACCAGCCAGTCCTGTGTAGACAACAAAGGAAGAACAATTAAGGATTCTTTCTATCTATCAGCTGTTCTTCCCAACACTTCATATCATTATAGAGTTACAGAGAACGTCACCCAGGACATCAAAGATCCTCTGTGTTCTTACGCTATGTAATGGTGGCTTTCAGCTTTCCAGATGTTTAATTATAACTTTAATCAATGGTGAGACATGCATTCAAAGTTTCTGTGAATTCTACTGAATTTGGCAGTTAAACAGTCTGTAATCGGTGCAATTTTGAACAATTTTTATAAAATACAGTCATGTGAAAAAGTAAATATGCCCCATGAAAATTGTTGACTTTTTCAACATATTTCAACAAGCAAACATTGGGAGGGTTATTCACTTACCTGCCGGAGGGTCAAGCCGTAGTTTCGACTGATCCTTCGGCTCTCTTCGGCCATCAGAGTCTTTCAGTTCAGTCGGACAGAAGGGCTGTTGTATGGGCTATTCATAATAGCACGTACAGCAGGCGAAGGCAGCCGAGTGGCTCGGCTAAGCCGTAGTGACAGGCGAAGCTGGGAGTAAGTTAGGCAGAAGTGGCTGACTCCGCCCATGTGTTTTGATTTGTCCAGAACCTACGGGCATACTATCAGGTGCCGGACAAATGTAAACGGTTGGGAGGAGCTAGCGGTGATGTCACACCTTCAGTGTTACATGCAAGCGCTAATTATGAGGATAAGTGTATTTCACTCTTCCCATAATTCTCCTTAACATTTTTTAAGTGTTGGTTGGTTTCTTTGCACAAACTGCTATTTTCAAACTCCCCGCAATATATTTTAATGGTATTTAAATCAGAGCTTTGACTGGGCCAGTCCAAAACCCTCCATTTTATTATTTTGAGCTATTACTTGGCAGATCTACTAGTGGTGTTCAGATCATTATTGTGCATAGCATAGCAATCACAAACCGTAACATTTCTACCACTGTGCTTTACAGATGGTATAAGGTTCTTCTCCTGCAAAAACAAACAAAGACAGCACCTACTCCACGTGTGATATCTTTTATTTTAAGGCGCTGTCTTTTTTGTTTGTTTTTGCATGTCATGTTTTGCATTAAGATACTTCCCAGTGGCCCTGTGGACGGCAGCCTCAACTCTAATGGTTGGGTGACGATTTATGAAGAATTTCTGAGCTGTGGTCGGCTTATCGCCGTGGTGTGGAGCTTTAAGGTTATTCTCCTGTCTACTGTTACTGTGGCCAGACAACTCTACTTTGAGTCATCTGCCCATAGCACATTGTTCCAGAAGGCCTGGCTTTTGCCTGTATGATCAATGGTAAACTGCAGTCTTGCACAAATGTTCCAGGTGGATAGCAAGGGCTAGCTTTTTCCCGGCATACCTCCCATGCAGGTTTTATTTTGTTCAATCTCTTTCTCAATGTAGATGCACGTTCTTTAACACCAACTTTTGCAAGACTTACCTGCAGATCCCACGATAAAATTTGAGAATCCTTTCAGCATCTAATGGTCAGCTCTAGGAGTGCCAGTCCTGGATGAATAGGCAGTCATTTGAAATCTACACCACTTGTAGAATATTTTTCTTACAATGGAATGATTGAATTCAAATAATTTGGTAATGTTTTTAAAATCTCTTGCCAAACTCATATGCATTCACATCCTTATTTCTCAGGGCCTTAGAGGGCTCTTTTAATCTTGGCATAATAATGCAATGCACATCAGCATAAAAGAGAACACCGGAGCCTAGATATCAATCTGAGATATAATTATTGACACCTCAACTAAAATAAACATTTTTTTCATGTGACAAATCTGAATTTGCCTCAAATCAGATCATGGGAATGAATACACCATGTCAATTGTATGTGTCATTTGTTTCAGTATATCATCTTTATTTGCAGGCAAATGAAGATCTAATGTTTGCCTGTTCAAATATGTTAAAAAAGTTAACAGTTTCCATGTGGTGTAATTACTTTCTCACACGACTGTACATTTAATCTAACCCCTTTACTCACACTGAAAGATATGCAAACTAAGAAGTGAATGTCTGGCACACAGCAGTTACATTTACTGTAAGCACCGATTTTTTTCAGACTTCTTTTCTAGTCATCTGGAATCATATACAGTCAGCTAGTATGTAGCAGCTAATTAGATGATGTTATCTTTTGCTTTTGCTAGAATTATCAAGAGCCGAGTCCTTTCCTTAGCAAAAGAAGGAGCATCTTCATACACAAATGATAATCTTATCCCCAAATGATAATTTACAGTCATTCATTTTAAATATATAGTAAGTGTTCTAAAACCAAAGAGCTTAAAATTGTTTAGACATTCATAAGGGAACTTGCACTATGAATATTTTAAAATGTGTTGACGAAAATTAAAGACAAATTTTGGCCAAGCAGCTAAATTTACAGTTGGAATACATAAGCTGTTTTACCTAGCAAATTATTTGCAATTATTGCAGCAATTCTAAGATTCCTGCCATGCTGGGTTGGTAAACCTATTTTTCTTCATCACAGTTAAGCAACACAGCCTGCTCATTGGACAGCTAAGGAATAGCAGCAAACCCTGTGTACTCATTTCCTGAAAGCAAGCTCTTAGTGTTAGACTGAATGGCTCACACTACTTGTCTGATGAGCAGAGGAGTATGGATAGCTAATAATCAGACAGATTTCAGGTACTATTTTTAAAACACAACAATATTTGAATCAACATTTAACCAGATTACATTATTTAGAATATGAACTATGACAATGTAATTAAAGCAAAGTCACAGACTTCATCCAATCATTTTTTGTAAGTAATTAAAAAAAATCAAAAACAAGATGATTTATGGCAAGCACAAAGATAGATTTCCTAAATAAAGACTCACGTGGCTAGAGAGTCCACTCTCCCATATAGCCACCCATTCCGGGCTTCTGGCACCATAACGGTGATCATGTCTCCTTTAGAAAACTGCAACATGGTGCGGTTTCCTTTTGTGTTGTGATCCACAATAGCTTGAACCTTTCTATTTCCTGTACTAGCTGATGCTGCCACCACAGCTGCTACAGCCACCTCACCGAAGGAGTTAGAACGACTACGAAAATTAGACAAGGATCCTGAAATAAAGGTAAGCAAAAATACAATGACAGATAAACAAAGAGAATATCAACAATCATGATGTAATGCTGGTAGCACAATGCCTGTCATCACAGTATACTTACACTGCGGGGAACATGTAGTCTGTCATTGCTGACCTCCTTCTGAAAATGTTTGTTGCTTCACTGTCTCTGGCTTCAATGCTTTGAGTCACTGACCCAGAACAAGAATGCATGTGAGGTCAAAGCAAAGTCTGAACTCCTGATCTGTACACTTCACCTTCCCTTCACTTTCCTGCCGCTCCATTCACCACTGGGAGAAGGCATTTGTAAGCTCTGGTAAGATCCCAGTCAATGCTTACAAAGGGTGGATATAAACGATGGTTTTCGATCTGGGTCCGAATGGTAGGT